GTTGCACCAGTCTGCACTCCCACCAACAATGGAGAAGGGTTCCTTTTCCCCCACAATCCCGCCAGCATTTGTTATTGGTTGATTTCTTGAAAGCAGCCATTCTTTCTGGAGTGAGATGGAATCTCAGCATTGTTTTCAACTGCATCTCTCAGATGACCAGTGATGATGAACATTTTTTCATATGTTTATTTGCCGTTTCTACTTCTTTGAGAAATGTCTGTTCATTTCAGATGCTCATTTTTGGATTGAGTCTTTAAATTTGGGAGGTCTGATTTTTTTAAGTTCTTTATATATTCTAGATGGTAGACTTTTGTCTGGAATTAAAAGCATCATACCACAGTAATATAAGTGCACCCATGTTTATAGCGGCACAGTTTTTAATAGCTAAATCTTGAATACAGCCCAAATGCCCATCAACTGGTGACTGGATAAAGAAGGCATGTGGGTTTTTTTTTTTTTCTTATAAAATGGAGTACTACTCAGCCATAAAGAATGACAAACTAGAGACATTTATAGCTAAATAGATGCACACTGAGGCCAGACTCTTAAGTGAAATAAATAGGACACACATGTGTAAATAACAAATAATTTCTCTGGTGTGAGAAACTGAAAATATAAATGAGAACCAAAATGTATGATAGATAAAGTGAAATAGGAAGAAAAGGTCCAAAGAGGGGGGGGTGTGGGGAGGAGTAGGGGAAAGGAAATAAATAGGGAGGGATGGAGGGGTTGAAAGGAGGGCAGGGGAATGGGGAAAAAAAATAAGAACAGCAATATATCATGTAAAGGTACAAGTTCCCAATGATGAATGTCATTATATTGTATACCTAAAATGTACCAATAAACTTAATAAAAAAAACCATTTAAGTGATCATTTACTTCCATCCACTAAAACTTCTACCGGGCTTCCCTTTAAGGAATCTTTAAAGTAAGAGAGTTTTTAGTTTCAATTTAGTTGTCAACATGCAGAAAAAAGAAAGGCTCAAAACAAAAAAGCAATATAATCTGAAAATTGAACATTAAGAGGAAAAACTACTCCTTCGAGTGTGGCCTTCACTGTCAATCAGAATTTCTGTCCAAACTGTAAAAACAGAAGGAGAAAGCCTGCTTTGCTGTGAACTGCCGAGTGAATTGCTTTTATTCTGCCAAACACCCCAGATGGTTTTCTTACAGAAACTTCCATCTCACACTCACATTTGTTTATTCCCATGCATGTAACTCTGCCAGGGTCTGAAACAGGTACTTCACTGATCCACTGAATATGATTTTTAAATTACTTCATCTTAGCTAAACTTTCAAGCCAGGGCTGACACTGTAACTTCACTGAGTACTTGCCTGGCATGCTTGTGGATCTGGGTACAATCCTCATCATGACCCAAAAATAAATAAAATAAAATAAAATTTCAAGCAAAGCAGCAAAAGAGGGGCCATGTACTTCCTTTCCCTTTTTAAACCTTGAGTTTGAAGCTGCTATTACATTAGTTTAAACCAACTAACAACTAAGTGACCCAAGAAACCATACATTTGTAAAACAAAATATTAAATATTTATGAAATGTTTCAAGACAAATCTTTGTACTGTCATACAAATACTTCATTTTAAGGCTGTCTTGAAAAAGACATCTTTTTTTCAGGAGTAGATCAGAAATAGCTGTCTGTACACATACACATCTTGTTTCCAGATATTATTGTTAAATACATTTTAAAAACATTTAGTAACTGTTATTGAGTGTTTATTGTGGGCCCTATGTTAAACAGTCAAGGAACAAAAATACACTGTGGCATTCTGTGCAGGATCCATTCTGCCTTGGTGGTAGAGAGAAGACTGGAGTCTTCTGTAACAGACAAATAGATGAAAGCAGTGAAGATGGGTTGGAAACAAATCCAAGGAGAAACATAAACAGAATTTGCTATCCAATTGGATACAGTGATGAATAAGAAGTCAGGAAACACGCTCCCAGTTTGGGGATCAGGCAATGCTACTCGATGAGATTAAGAAACATCAGGGCCAGAATAGTTAGTGCAGCAGGCTCCATGTTATCCAAGAGATCTAAAGAGCTACTGTATCGCTGCTGTCAGAGATAATGGTATTCAAAGACCTCTTCAGAGGCCCAGTGGTTTGTTTCACAAATGAAAACGTTGGAATCCTTTCCAGAAAGGATTCATAAGCACTAGCAGGGTGTCAAAAGCATCAGATGGTGAGAAAACCTCTTCCACAAACAGTACTCACGTCTTGGATTCCTACTGCAGTACGGGTCAGTCCACTGCTTGGGATGATGCTCTGGAATGGATCTGATTATGGATATGAAGGAGAGCAGATCTGGGTAAATGGGGCCATGCATATCACACCCAGTGAGAGCCCCAGTGCAGGGGTTCACTTTGTAGCCTCTTGCATCTGCAGTGTTTGGGCAGGGAAGTCATGACACCTGTCCACACCTCTGCTTCATTTCTGTAAAATTAGGATTCATACTGCCAACTATAAAAATTTGTAATTTCCCTTCCCATTTCTGGACATTGAAACAGATAAAATTAGAGGGAATGTTTGAAATTCATCCAGAGTTTTGCTTCTCAAAGGAAATGAAAATGTTAAATTTCTATTCAAGTCAATAAGAATTTATTTCATATCTTGTTGGTAGTACATGTGTAGTATTTGAGATAAAGGGGTGCACAAGACCCAAGACCTTTAGTGATGCTATTTTAATGTCAAAGTATGAAGACATCTACAATTTGGAATTCCAAAAGATGAATACTTACTTAGCACAAGATTATTTGTCCTTGTGGGTCTGATTATAAAAGAACAATGGCAAGTTGGCCACCACATTTATAGAATTAATTATATATACATTATTAAATAATGTTCATTTTTAAGTGGCCACCTACCAAGATATGAAGCAAAAATTTATTTGGAAGATTAGAAATTAAAATTCCCTGCTTTCAATAAGAATCAAACTGACAGTGTCCTAAAATAAATTAAGATGGTTTCCTGACTGTGACTGTAAGGCTTCACTTCCTCCTCATACTCCAGCCCTTTTCCTGCTGGAGAAGGAATCTCTCCAAGAAATTATTGAGGAAGGAAGAGCTGCTTTGTACATTACATTCACAGTGGGGAGACTTCTGTAAATATCAACATGTCTAAGATAAACCATCAATTCTGTACCTGAAAGCTTTCTTTAGTGGGAAGTAGAATTTATGACATTTATTTGGATCTACATGGGTTGCATTAGATACTGAGTTCCACTGACATAAATGCACTCCAATTCCTGTTGTGATCATGCGTTTTGCCATTTCCTACAACACTAGCACCTACTATAAATGTCAGGAATATGCCCTCATCATTTCTCACTCTCTCTAATCCTTCCAAGGAACTCACAAACTAGATATGTACTCCTACGGAGGAGAGTTTGCAGGGCTTTCCCATGGCTACCTAGCCAATTATAAGTGATGACCTTGCCATATGTACCAAAGTCCATCCCTCTTCAAATCCTGCTCTGTCCCCATTAAATAAAATGTCTCTTTGGCTTTATCCCCCATCCTGTTTGGGACTTTTCCTTGAACTTCTCTTTCCCACAACAGTGAAATCACCCATTGGAAGATATCAGACAACCTGGGTGTTCTAAGGAGAGCTGCCAGATCTCCTGTGGCTCATCCATCCACCACAAGGCCTCTGCTGACTCCCTGCTTCCTTCTCCAAAGCTGAAAATAGACGAAATCAGCTATTTCGATCACAACAAAAACACAACATGCCATTGGAGTACAAAATATTTGTGTATTTACCAGTGTTGAATATGTGATAGGGTTATAAAAAATAGAAAAATGCAAACCATTATAGCAAAATTAATAAACTCAGTCTTCCCAAGTAGTTAAGTTGAATCCACATTGGTTCAGTAATCTGCCTCATTAGTGACCCATTTTAAAATTCTGTTCCAATTAATCCTACACATTCATGGGATAATCCCACGGGCAAGATAATCCTTAGATGTTCTCTTTATTAGTCTGACTCTTCAATCACTAGCATCAAAGCCTATAATCACACAGAAGAACCAAACCGCTCTTTATCAGTTTTCCCAAGCCAGAATTTCCTTCCACACCAGCTCACCTGCTTTGCATCCACCAGGGGCTTAAAATGAAGAAAATGTTGTCAGTCTTTTTTCCAAAGTTTCTCCCTTATTAAATTTTATATTTTTGTAGAAATGCAAGCTGCATTTCTCACTAACCTGAGAATCTCCATTTTCTTTTGATTTTACATTGCCTTCAGATTTGTCTGTGTGGAAAGAAACCCCTTCAATTTTCTATTACCAGAACATGTCCATTCTTCCCCTATGACAATAATTGCTTGTTTGCATTCCTCTCTCTATTAAACCATTCATCTAAAAGGCTTCATTAAAGTCATGCTCAATCACCACTGCGCCTGTTATCCTTTTTCTTTCTCTCTTATCAGCTTCTCAATTATTCACAGTGTGACTTCATTCTCTTGGCACAATATATCCTCGGCTCTCTCCCCTCCCTTTTCCTGCCTAGATAGGTCAATATAGCCACGCTCAACTGTTCTGCTTTTGCTCATTTTTATCCACACTGTCCTGTGATTCCTAGAGCTACCTTTTCACTTTCATCTCACAACTGCATTTTTCTTAATAAAAAAATCTGACTTCCTAAAAACACTTCCCTGCTTAAGCAGAAAAAAAGTCATCTCCACTAACTGTTCCTAGTCAGGAATCTGTGTGAAATACACTTTTAAAACTGCATTGGAACAAAGTAGGAAAGAAGAACAAAATAAGCACCCAATGGGCCAGGGATTTAGCTCAGTGGTTCAGGTGCCTGCCTTGCAAGCACCAGGTCCTGAATTCGACCCACGGTACCAAAAGCTAAAAAAGAAAATAAGCACCCAAGTATTTGCACATGTGATCTGCCCTGTAAAATCACATGATAAAAATAACCACATGCAAATAAGATTTCACCCCTCACAATAAAATATTTACTCGATAATAGGAAATATCAATCTGATATATTAATAAAAAAATTATGTTTAATCATAGGAAAACAGCAAGTCATTTTTTCCAGCTTTTTAAGGATATTTTAATCATGTGAAACCATCATAATGTAATGTAGGCACAGTGCTAAAATGTTACCAAAGATAAAATGGTTTTTATTAGTTTTACAGGACATATATTTGGAAAGAGTTGTTAAAAATAATTACTCTGAAGGACCTCTAAATATATTGAGAAACAATATTTTGACAAACAGCAGTAAGCAACAGAAACTATTGCTCTTTATACACTTTTGGCATCCTACTGCCATACAGTTACAGATTTATAAAATAAGCATCTTAACAGTGCCACACAGATCCAGAAACTGGTTACAACTCGTACCACACACACACAGCTTCTTGCCCTTCATGCTGAGCACAGAGCAGATATGGCCCCGGGGCCACTGGAGCAGTGCTTCCATGACAAGGACAACCTATCTCTGTAAGAACCATAACCACTTCCCTGAAATGTCTGAAATACAAGGGCACCATAGCTTCACAGTTTGAAACAGTGCCTGGATTCAGTCCGATCTACCTTTGTAGGTAATAAAAAGGAGAGCCAGTGTCTTACTCAGGGATGGGGAGGGAGGCAGGCTTTGTTCTCCCCGGTTTCTTAGTTATAATGCCACACAACATGCTGTCCACTCTCCAGCACAGGAGACAGGTGCTTCTTCCCTAGCTCTCCTATCACTGGTTCTCTTATCTAGAGCCACTCTGTCAATTTAGCTCTTCTTAGTAAACCACCAACACGGGAATTAAACTTGGATGGTGACCATTTGATGACTTCCACCAGCCACAGCAGTGTCCAGGAGGAGTGGACAAAACTCATGGTGCCCGCGAGAACAGCAGTGGGATCTGTTTCCATAGCAACCCCTAAGCCCCGGGGCACTGACACCGACAGCACAGAGCACCCAGAGCCTCTCTGACCGTTTCTCACTTGCTTCCAAGAACTCCGGCATGCGCACAAACTTAAACTTGGTTTCGTCTTTATTTCTGTGATTTCTTGTTACTAGGTCTCATCTTTTTATTCCTTTGTTTTCTTTAACATGAAACTAAATGTTAGCCCTGAAAAAAATGCTCATTTAACCAAATGGAACATTTCTTAGCCCAAAGCTTATTGAAAAACGAATCTCTCTAGTTAATACAAACTGTTCCACAAACTTCTTTACAATTTAAAAAATGAAAATGATACACACTATAGTTTATTTTTCCATAAGGTTCTCTGATCTAGAACAAATAAGAGCTTTTGGCATAACAAGTGAACACGAATGCTTTTCTTGGAATCATTTTATTAAAACGTATATATGAAAGAACAGCCCAAAAGAAGTTTTGCTCGAAGAACTTGGGGACAGTGGTAATTAAATTCTTCCCACGATAGCTTTAGAGATATAGGGAAAATTTACATAGCGGATGCCCAACTGCTCATAATTTTCTAAACAACTACAAAACAGTGGCAACGAAATGACAGCGCTATTTTGTGAAAATGGACACCTGTTCAAATTGTGTGTGGCCTTCCTCCCCAGAACTCAGAGATCTTGGGCCCAGCATCCCCACGCTCCTAGAAGGCTGAGGAGCTACGGCGCCATGGAAGAGGACAGCGCCAGGGAGGAGCCCACTTCCCCAAGATACCCACCCTGATTCAGCTGACTTCTCCCTCTCTGGACTCTACTTCCAACAACGGATTGGGCTGCAACACAAAGCACTTTATTAGATTGTCCACATGAAAACTTTGATACAAGAAAACAAGCATGTAAAGAAGTTTTTCCCTCAAGTAGCCAAGACAGACAAACTTCACAACAGAATACAAAAAAGTAGAAGACAAAGAACACATCCTCTAATCTAGGATAAAACCAAGAACAGGGTTTTTCAAATGGTCCTAATAAGATTATAGCATAAAAATTTCTCAAATTATTTTTAGATTGCTCCAAATATCTACTAGAATTAAAATTTTAATAGTTTTTCTAATACTATTTTTGCATCTATATGCATTAAAGAACAAGAAGTAAAACATAAATATTACTGCAGTAACTAAAATGTTTAAAGTGAAAATTACAGTACCTACCAAAACTAAGACAAAGCCTAAATAAATGTAACCACACAAGTTAATCTCTCCTACTCTAAGCCCTTTTTTTGTCAACTATATCACAATGCTGATAATGCGGTGAGTATACCTCTCTATGAACCAATGCTCTTGTCTCAAATGACAACTGCTCCAAAATAATAAAGCACTGAAGTAAATGTCATTAACATAATTGATGCTCATGGTTTGGAAAGTTCTTTATGACAAGCTTTCACAATGAATAAAAATGTGAATTTCTGAATGAAAACCCCTTACATTCATAAAGGCACAACTGGACACCTCCAGGCACTCACATAACTATATGATTATTCATTTCAATAAGAGATTTCTAAAAACAGTCTGTCCCTGAACACAATCTGCTGGGTAGGTTGGTAACCGGAACAAGGCAGGAGGCAAGAAAGTACTCACTGTCACCCTGGAGATAATTCACACAAATCTGTTCCTTTAAAAACAGCACAGAACTCAAAGCTGGCAGAAGTCAGCAGATACACGTGCCTAACTTCCTAGGTCCAATATTGACTCGGCCATATTTCTTCTCTACAATTGCACCCACATTTAAAATGATCCTTGTATTTCTAATTCCGTCCTACCTTATACGTAACACATATGCCCCAAAGAGAAAGGAGAATTTTCTAAGTGAAAAACAAAATAGAGATCTTCAAAACCATTCTTGTAACAAGGGATTCCCTATTTATACCAAACAGACATGAAAGCCCTGTAGATATAATTAAGCAAAATCCAGAGGATCTTTCTTTTCTTGGGTTACAAAATACAGACTTTTAGAAGAGCCTCAACTATAGTTTAAAAAAATTGCTTGACTTAGTTACTAAGTGCATTATAAACTCAGTCATAACTCTACTTATAAACTCGGCAAATTTAATGGTGAAACAATTAACCAATATTCTCTATCCATAAATCTAAACAATTTTTGAACATCTGATGTGGAAGTTTATTTCCCAAAATGATTTTTGAAAAAGCTCAGATGTAGCCCTGTACTGTTTTTCCTTTTTCACCAGCTCATACGCCTACTCAGATTAAAGTTTAAAAGCTAGAAGCCAAATAGGTAATTTGCTATGATAAGACACAAAACAATGACTAGGACAGATTTTATGGCATTTTTATATGATTATGTTTTTAAAAATGAGCAAAAACTCTTAGAACTTCCCTAGGAACTCCTGAGGTGTAGCTTTTATCTTCTCCTTAAACCTGGAAAAAAGCAGTCTCAAAACCTAAAACAAAACAATATAAGTTTTGAACTGACAATTAGACTTGATTTAGTGAGAGCAGACAGATCTTCACTTCTATCATAGTTACTCTGCATTTCTTGAGACTGAACATAAAAATGTATGTTACAATAATCTTAATGTTAGAAACTCTTCTACTGTACAGAAATATATCTTATCATGTCACTTTACAGTATTTCAAAATAATTTCACATAATCTTTGATATATGAAAGCACAAAATACTAGAAATGTATTAGACTTATCAGACAATATCTATTTGCCATGATATGCAAATTAGTATGTTATGAATAGCCAATATTTAGCATCCTTGCAGGCTGTAGTACAACAATAAAGACTATATATTTGCAAATATTCAATAATGTTTCTAGCTATTTGGCCATGCTCACTGCATTTTCTGTAATATGTTCTCTGCAAATTTTGGCAAGCATGTGGTTGTTTTTAAAAATATAAAACATAGGAGTTAAACTGGAGGCCAGTTTCATATCTAAGACACATACATATCTATACATCTTATTTAAAAAACTATTAAATGTACAAAGTATTAATAGAAAAAATTCTATCTTCAAAAGGAATGACATCCCCTTACTTGTTCTCCACTAAATAATTCTCTCTTTATTTACAGATTAAATGTAGGAAACATAGTATCAGATATGAATATGCATTTTAAAAACATTATGGAGGAAAAAGGCCACTATTTTGTATGGAAGCAGGGCAGTTCTCCCCTTGAAACAAAATATTTTCATATTAAATGGTATGACCTGACAAAATCTCATAAATACTCTAAAAGCTCAGTTGTTAAATGAAATGCTTTTACCTCCAAGGGCTCTGCTATGAAACAATTTATAAGTAGTTGAGATTATATTATTTTATATCTGATAACTGTTTATTAATAGTATTGGGTCATATATATGTAACATTAAACACTCAGAAAGTGGTCTGAACATGTCCTATATGCAAAATTTGTAAGAATTACAATCCAGACCAATTTGACAATATACGGGCATCCCCTAATCCTAGGAAACTGTTTATTGAGATCTATGGGGACATTGTTAGAAGCACCACATAAAAGGGTCCATGTATTTCTTGCAGGTAAGAAAGAAACTGAAATGTAAATCTAAATTGTTAAACAGTACACAAACAGCATAAAGCAAAAATTGACATATTATGGGAACTAAAAATGATCAAGCATTCTGTATCTACTTATTGGAATATGATATATGCTATGTGACTGCCACTAAGATTCACATAAAAAATCAAGGTTAAGCAACTGGGACAGTTTTGTGTATATTTCAAAGCAATAAAATCCCAATTCTAAAAGCATCCTATCATTGTTAACTATTTTCTAGAAATCCATTGTTGAAAGTGTGGGTTGATAGAGGCAACAGAAGATGATAATGTGATATAAAATTTTAATAATGCCTGCTAGGCACGGTGGCACAGGCCCTAATCTCAGCCTGCTGGGAAGCTGAGGCGGGAGGACTGCAAGTTACAGCCTGGGCAACAAGCCACTTAGACTCTGTGTTTAAAAAAGGGGGTGAGTGGGTGAGGATTTAGTTCAGAGCAAGGGTCCTGAGTTTAACACGTAACATGGGCAAAAAAATCCTCCGGGGATTAAGGTAAATTTTTCTTAAAAGCCTGAGAGAGAGAGATCAAAAAGGAGTCAATTCTTTTCTAAATGAAATATAGTGAAAATGTCTTATCTACTCATTTTCTATTTTTGTACGTACATTTTGCAGTTCTTATCACAGTGTTTGATTTTCTCATTTCCAATGAATTAATAATAATGTTGTAGGAAATAAAATTGTGTATGACCAATGCTATGTAACATATTCAGTACTCATTAGAACTGAGTGCATGGAATTTCAAACTGTTCTCAATTTCAAAGTTTGATGATGTAAAATTACATAATATATAGAGAGACATTGTGAACTATGCAACATTAGTAAATTCATAATTTACATAACACCAAGATTTTAGTAATTTAAGGGACTGCTTATTGACAGTGCAAGAGACATGCTTTTTAAAAATGAAAAAAATGAGTAATTTCCCTTCTCATTTTTTAATGCTTCAGTCATCTACATCCAGAAGCAACCACCAAATTTATATGGAATAGCCACAGAAAGCAAAATACTTTTTTTTTACTCTTGTACTAAAATTTGTTTTTAAACACTTAATAGAGAAAACATTTTTATTAAACAAAGAAAATTTCTAAAATCATACAATTAAAAGTCCCTCTCTAGGGGCCGGGGATTTAGCTCTGTGGTTCTGCCGCCTGCCTTGCAAGCACAAGGACAGGAGTTCGATCCCTGGTACCAAAAAAAAAAAAAAGGCCCTCTCTGTTCCAGTTAGATGTCAATAAAGACCACTCTAATGTGCTAGAAAGGCACATGGTAGCTGACAAAGATGGAGGCTGGGGTAAGGGAGGGGACAGGAGAGACAGGGCACCACCAAGTGAGCTGGGTAGTCAGAGAGTCCCAGGGACATCCATTCTACTTATCACACTAAAAATAAGCACAATGAGGTGTGTAGTCAAAGAATCTAAATTATTTTCCGAATATATTTGAGAACACCAAGACTCTTTCTTCCAGCTTCAAAAATTAATCTAAAAATCAGGGAAAGTTGTAGTGATATAATGAAATTATTCTTTTTCTTCATGTAGATTCTCTCAAAACAAAGTATTTGATAATCCAAATACATGATCTTTTTCTAGATGTCTTGAAAATAACCTAAAACTATCATCATATAGAGAATTTGAGAACTCACATCCTAAAACATTCATTTATTGGCTCTCATCTTAAAACTTATTAAGTATCTGATTGTCATCCAAAAATAAAAAAACAACAAAATGTTTACAATGGAAATCACAATCAGAGGGCTTACATTTGACATGTGACCTTGTCACTGTTCTTTAAGATAGCCTCAGGCAGCTTTTCCCTCTTAACCTAAACTGGGCTGTGGCTTTCTGGGGCTTCACTGTCACGGAACCTCATCGTGGCAGCTGGTACTCTCAGCCTCGCTTCTGTCGCCTTTGCTATGATTTTCCCCCTCTTCCTCTTTTTCAGAAGGTGACAAGCCCTCGGTGTTTTCTGCAGGGCTAACAGCTGTTTTTTCCAGTTGCAAACTTGTGCTTTCAGCCCCACTGTCCTCGAGGTTTGTGGGCTTTGCAGGGTCACTGCTGGGCTCCAGGCTGGGCTTCCCTGTCTCTTCCCCGGGCTCTTTGGGTGCCACTTTCCTCTCTTCAGCTGTTTTGCTATTTAGGTGAACAGCAGTGGAGGAATTTTTGTCGTCCTTGGCTTTTTTGTGCATAGAAGTCTGACCGTTGTGACTGGAGCCAGGAGGGGCAGCCACCTTCTGGCCCTTGCTGGCCTCTGCCTGCTCTTTCCTTGGTGGCCCCCAGATAAAGTTCTCAGAAGGTCTGTAATGTTTCTGGGCAAATCGCAGGAGCTTTCTCCTCTCTCTCCTGTCTCTGATGGTATAAACAAAATACTCCAGCGCACTCTGCTTAATATTGGGAATGGTGTTTTCCACAAGGGCCTCGTGAAGGATAAATTTTACAAGAGGAGATTTAAAACTTTCATATCCCAGCTCACCGAGGCTTTTAAGAATACGGGTGATTCTTAGATAGTTGTGCTGAGACCTGGAAGAGAGGATTGAATAAAATGAGGGGGAAATTGTGCGGTGGAAAGCAAGAAGATGGAAATTACTGGAGTAACATTTTTAATGGAAGTGTAAGACAAAGAAATAAGCACTGTAATGACTTTTAAAAGGTCCTATCAGATACTATTATGAATATATCAGAATCTATTAAATGTATTAAATAAAACCTATGCCTTGAGGTAATGCCAATCTAACTCAAAATGTATAAACTCTTTTTTAGTTCATATTAGAAAAATATTTTGATTTAAATTTATCCTCACTAACGCTGAACTTTTTAAAATTGAATTCATTGAGGATAGATGATCTAACAGAGCATTTACTAAGTCAACTGGGGCACAGTATCATCTCATGTCGTCACAAGAAGGGTATACAGAACAGTAAGATATTTTGAGAGAGCCAGAAAGACAATGTTCACACACCTTTTATTTTAGTATATTGCTATAATTGTTCAATTTCATTAGTTGTTAATTTCTTACTGTGCCTAATTTCTGCACTGAACTTTATCATAGGTGTGTATGTATAGGAACAAAACACCATGTATGTAGGGGTCTGTGCCATCACATACACTGGAGGTCTTGGATTCCATGCCTATGAAGGAGGAGGAACTTTGGTACCTGTAGCATCACCACAGGTAACTAGGGCTCAACACAAACACATTACCTAGCAGCTGAGTGGTAGTATTAACAGTGTCAACTGATCAATAAGCCAACTCACAAGGAGAACAGCAAAAAAGATCTTATTTTATTGTATTTATTTTTTTGGTACTGGGGATCAAACTCAGGACCTTGCACTTGCGAGGCAGGCGCGGGAACCACTGAGCTAAATCCCTGGCAAAACACCTTATTTTCGAAGAATAATTCTGACGACACAAAACTGCCTTATCTGATAGAGCACAGTTTAACATGTGAAAATGTATCCTTCAGAGTTAGCCATGCCCTGGCTCTGTGTCTTAGCCAAAATTATAATGTCTAAGTCTCAGTATCTTCATTTATAAAATGGGAAAAATAGCCCACAACTTACTGGGCTGTTGTAAGAATCAAATGAAATGATACATCTTTAGGGCATATAAAAATAAATATCAGATACTATTTTAAACTAATATTTCAGTAATTATTACCTAAAGTTTTGTTATTAAGACTATATTGGCACCTGTCCTAACTTCATAACTGAATTTTCTTTCATTATGGCACGTTTCAACACCTCTACCTTAACCACAAAATTCTAAGTCTTATTTCCTATGGCCTTGATTCCAAAGACACATTGTTTCCAAGATTACACTAATCATTCCTCTATCACAACTTAGGCCATTATTGGACTAATGCTTTCCAAATCTATTTTGTTGATATTTATAATCTACTTCCCCAACTTCATTCAGATCAAACCTAGCTTTATTACACCTGCCTGGCCAAACCCTAAAGGAGTTCTCAGCTATGTGTATTAACCACATGTATTGTCAACGGCTCCAGTATTTATTTACCCAATATGCCCACACAATGAGAACCAGTGTTTATTTCTAACTTCCTAAAAACCTGTTTTATATTTTAGACACTGAACTTTTGCAAGTGTTGCATATACCTGCCCTAGATTCTAAATGTGCACGGAGTTTTTACTTAGGAATAAGAAGGAAGTTATTTGGGGAGGGTACAGAAAGATGCCAATAAATTATTTGAAGTGTGGAAGGAGGTACAGTTCTATGATCTTATATTTTAATACAGAACAAAGATCTTAATTATTCAGGGTACTGGAGAAGACAAACTCAATGATTTTTATCATCTACATACTTCTAAATGTTTACCAAAAAAGTATTATCTTAAGATTCAACGCTTTGAAGCCAAAAGGATAAAACATAGTAGAGAGGTTTCAGTTTTATGAATCTGTATTTTTAATAGGAGAGAAAAGTGTTTTAAACCAATACAATTTGGATAAAATTAAGATAATGTGCCATTAACAACAGGACTGTCTTGGTTGTTACATTCATGTGGAGTTTGTATATTCAAAAAACTTATCGACAAAACTCTTAAGTAACATCTGCTTTATAAATCTAAGAGAAAAAATGTATAGAAAGGTAGAAGAATGTTATAATAGGTGCTATGTGACAAAATAAATGCTATATTTGCCACCAGCTCAATTTCACATAATCTAAGATGAATCATCAAGTGAAATTTTTCGTGCACATTTGTCCATATCTACACATTCTCCAGTTAAAAATATTTACAAAACAGGATAAAAGGACAAAACCTGGAGGGGTGACAGGGGTGAAAATGATTGAAGTATGTTATGTGCACATACAAATATGTCAACACGAAACTCATGAATCCATTTAACCTTTATGCACTAATACAAAAAGATGGGAAAAACACACTCAGGTTGAAGAAAATGATGATCAGGATTCTAAATGAAACTACAGGAGGAATCAACTGGGTATTTCCGTATGATCTGAAGTAAACGTTACAGTGAAAAGCAAAATGGGGCAGAGGGGTGTTTTAAAACTCTGAGAGTGAGTGCTGCAGGCAGTCTTGGGTTGGACAGCAGATGAAGGGGAGAAGCTGGGCTTCTGAACAGAGACAAGGGCAAAGACAGTGACGGCACGGCCAGGACACGAGTTAGGTGAAGCGAGATCACACAACAAGCAAGAACCAGAAGAGAGAAAATGAAAGTTGGAAAGGATTACAGGACCTAAAATATGGCTCTGTAATACAAGCTGATGACAAATAAAACTGGAAATACATCTTAATGGTTAGTCTATATACCTGTACTTCCTGTCTGAAAATATTTCACTTCAAGCATGGTCACTTGTATCATCCATATTACTTCATTTCACTTTGATTCAATATTTCTCCTTTGCTTAGCTACTATAAATATACTCAGTTCCCTGACCACTCTAAAAAGCTCAAGATGCCTGATTAAAACTCAGATAAGCTATGACATTTAAGAATAAATCAGAAAAGGACCCAACTGAAGAAGAAAAATGAATAGATTTTCACATCATCCCACATAATTTGTTTAAATCTAGTCAATAAAATTTTTTGGCAACTAAATCAGAGATGAAACATGTTTTCAGACAGATTCCAAGATCCAGAGCTACAAAGGCCAAGAGAGGCAAGGGTGGAGGAAGGAAAGGTAACTGGATGGGCAGACAGTCCAGGCTCCCTCTCCTGATACTTAATTAAAGTTTTCAGGAATGGCTTTGTTTCCAGCTATAAATCAGAGGATCTGACAAAACTCTGAGGATGGATTTAAGATGAAGATATTTTTGCTCCAGATTTATTCATTCAAAAAAGTTACTACACAAGATTGTTATTCCAACCAAAAAGTTAGTAACAAGTGTGTATGTGGTATCTTTAAAATGACAAAAGTGAGTACACAGAAAACAAGGCGTTATTAGACCTGTTCCAAAGGCTTACTTTCAAAACGATGTTTCAAGTCAACAGTCACCTGGACATAGCTTCTCTGACAATGTGACACAGTCCTTAGAAACTGTCCAGAGACAGTACCCTTCATTGCTTAGGCAGATATATGTATATGTCTACTCACACTTCAAGTCTTCTACATAAATCACAATTAACTCGAGTAACGAGTTCACGAGTCTTCCAGTCAAGATCATAACGCTTTATGCCAATATCTTCAATGTTTGAGTATAAGCTACCATTTTACTAGTGCTGATTAAAACTAACAATGTAAAAAGATGGAAGTTCTAGAAAGACATAAAAAATTTAGATAACTGATGCCAAAATTCTGATTATTTTTGGCCAAAGAGGAATTGGTTAAGTTAGTTTTAATTTTTTTCCCTTAGCACTTGGCCAGTTCAGCTAATTATAATGTGCTAAAAAGTGCTTTAAAACTGTAGGTTTTATAGTCCAGCACTCATAATTCACCCTATAATTAAAAAGAAAAAAAGCTAGGCTGTATATGAAGAAAATATTTTTTAAAAATAAACTGGTTATGAGTATTAATGAAAGTTATAAATATCCAAGCAAAAGGACACAGCAAAAATAAATCCAAATAAGCTATGTTAAATATTTCTTCATAGATTTTCTGATTTATTAACCAAAACTGCTTGTTTATCTAAATAGTGAAGATAAATTATAATTTTTTGTGTTTTAATAAAAAGTATGGTCACATTGCATTCTTATAAAATGACTTTTATATGCCATAGGCTTAATTCATGGATTTGATCTAAGAAGGCACCAAGTGTGAAGATGCTAGCCATAGACCATGTCCCCAAAAGATTACAGCCTGCGAGTGTGGATACAAAGAACTATACACTGTACGTTCCAAGAGACATGACAGAGAGAGGGACAGGCCACAACTGATGCAGGTGGGAGGTTTCAGGAAGAAAAAGTCCTGAGACTGATGAGCTGTGTTTATATTTGGAATTCAGGTCTTTAGTTGTTGCTGTTTTTTTAACACAGAACCAGGAATAGAATGCATTTCAGGTTGGCTTTTAAATCCAAATTCCTAAACCCAGCTGTTACCTGTTCCTATGTTCTACACAGATCTCTGCACACAAGAAAATACCACTGCCACATCACTGGGGCTTTACTTACTCATTCAGATGCTGAAATCTTTCCTGCCAGTTAACAGCCCGAGCAACGTTCCCCATTTTATCAATCAATTTTATTCCAAAAAACTCTAGCATCATTTTATAAGCCAGGAGGAATCTTCTAATTGCTTCTTTTGTCTTTTTGAACTCCTAATATAAAGAACATAAAAAAAAAGTTCCCTGAAATAACTCAGTAGCTACCAGCACAATAAAATAACAGTACAATTCTGCCATCTCATATAAAGTGAAATAAGCGTGTGTTACCTCTATTTCATATGTAGTTAGTTCTTTAGCATAAAAGTTCAAGCCTTGCTCTCTCAGGGGAAACAGCCTATTTTTTTAAAAAAATAAAGTTTTTCTATTAACATTATCTGGAAAACATACATGGGGAAATAGGGCACAGTTCAAGGTAAACAGTACATAACTGACCATTGAATGTAAGTGTGGTTGTGCTCCAGCTTTTCGTAATCTCCTTTCCATTTATTTAGAACTTCTTCAATGTAAACACCTAAACAGTAAATATTAGAAAGAAAGCCAGACATTCAAAACATCGTAATGGCATTTAAAAATCTGAATCACTTGAGTTTATATTAAAAGCTTTTAAAATTTAAAAATAGCACAAAAGAATAATGCTTTTAAAAAATGAATGCCCTATGTCACATACTCGGTTATGTAATAAGCCTCATATTGAGAAAATAATGGTACCTCAAATCACAGAAAGTTTTATTGGGCAATGTAAAGCAGAGGTTAGCAAACGATGGCCTGCTGTTTTGTAAATAAAGTTTTGTTGGAACACTGCCATGCACATCCAAGGATGTACTGTCTATGGCTGCTTTTTACTACAGTATGAGAGCTGAGTAGTTGTGACAGAGAGCAATAGTTCTGTAAAGCCTAGAATATTTTACTATCTGCTCTCATACAGAAAACTTCCCCAGTGTTACTATCTCCATTTTAGTAAGTGAGGAAACTGTAATTTGTTGAAAGTCACACACTAGTAAGAAAGTAAATTTAAGAGTATAACACAGGTCTTTCTGCTTCCAGAAAGCAATTCATGGTTTCCCTGGAAGAACTCACTACAACAAAATTGTCCTGATTCTTAAGTCTATCGAGGTCCTCACAATTGACTCTGTGGCCATGTGGCCCATCTTCTAGAAAAACCACAGTAGCAAAGTATTTCTCTAAACCCTCTTCTCATTCTTGCTTCCTACAGTATCACTGGTTTTTAGGCAAGGACTGCTCTCAAAAGGTTTGGTAAAAGTTGTTTTGAATCGTACTACTGGCTTTAATAGCATGTTGAAACCATTTGCTTCTGTAATATTCTGTTTTCCCCTCCAATTATTTCTACTCCTACTTAATAAGTAAAATATGCCTTTGCACAACATGTTTACTAGCAAGTGAGTGAGCATGCATGTGAGGATGTGTGTGTGTGAATGTGTACATACTGGACAGGAAAGTGTGGTAGTTGATGTAATTTATATAAAACACCAGAGTAACATTTTATGTCACTTTGAACTAAAAATTCTGACCGCCGTCAATCTCACAAGATTTCAAAATAAATTTTGTAACAAAGATTACAAAAAATAAATATATTGCTTGACAACAGTGCTTTAAATTACTATGTCAAAAATAAATTCACTACTGGAAACAAAAAATAAAGTTAAAACTGTCATATTTTATGTTCAATATTTTTAATACTTAAAGGTACTGTTTTAGCTAAGTTTTATGAACTTCAGAGTAAAATTAGCCATCTACTGTTGCATTTCTTCAAAAACTTTTCTTACTCCAAGTTCTAAAAAGAGTAGTAATTTAATTAATATTTTTCTATTGGTTTTAAAAAAAATACAACAGTGCAGTCTGTTCTGGGGATTTCCTTCTAAAGCAAAGCAGACTTCTGGCTTACCAGAAAGTTCAGGGCAGGTAGGTTGGGCTACTTCAGCAATGTTCTTAGCTGCAGCCAGTATACCTCTTAGTGCACAATACCAGGGTGCCCTCCTCCTCATCCCCACTCCAGCCTTTAGATCTCCCTCCTCCAGTTAGCTCACCAAAGAAGGCAACCTCTTTCCCTTCTGAGAGCCTTACAATCTATGACCCTCACACCCTGTCTCACAGTGCTGTGGATTTGGTTTTGTTTCTACTGGGAGCAAAGAGCAGAAACCAGGACCCTCTGGTCACTTCACACAGAAAAGGACTCCAAGGAGAGAAGCTGGCTTCAGCTTCCCTGGCTTGAGCTGGGTAAAATGAGGATGCCCACCATGAACCACCATGTGGCACCTCAGAGAAATATGTCATTCTGCAGTCAAATTACCATAGCAGCTGCCTCCTCTCGGTAGGGGTTTGGAACAGATCCTGTGAGGGCAAGTGTAGCACTGTGAAGGAGACAGTTTGCTTTGCCGTGCTGGATGGAGACCTAATTCGCTGTAGCTCCCTGACCGTGACTCTGAAAACCGACAGGAGGGATGATTCCAAAGACAGCAGCACTTTACTCACACGCTACAGAATTTTCAGGCATGGTGTATCGGAAAGAGCAATCAACCCTGGAAGCTAGGCCCACCCTACAACTGAGCCACCCAGCAAGTCAGTCCTTTCAGCTTCAAATCCCAATAAGCTCACCTTTAATGTTAGAAAGTTGAATCTGAACTCCACTGGAGTCCTCAGTAATCAAAACTTTACAGTTCTCCAATCTCCCATCTTTTCCTCTCTGAAAAATGTTATTCTGACTACCTTTCAGATAATAGCCATGATACACAGATGGCAGAAAGGGACTGCAATTAACAGCTGTTACACCAGGATTCACCAAGTGGACAGAACACCTTGAGGGCCTAGGACTTTGGAGACACATTAGACTGCACAGCAAAGTCAAGTTAATCAACGAACAAGTGCAGTAAGAACCCACTGAGCATGGAATAAACAAAGTATACATAGGTGCTTGTATTCTTTAAAGTTTGCATTTTACCATGGTAGCAGGTTACTCACCATCTGGTTTAAATGGAATTTTATTCTTATAAAAACGAAGATTGCTCAAGTCATTTTGATATCGGATATCTTTGAAGTTCTGCTAAAGGAAAAACATAAGTCAATCTCTAGCATATGGAAATATGGAAAAGGCAGAGGGCCCTTCTTACACATGTTCTTACTGCATCATAAGATTATAAAAACAGAGAGGAAATACCTTACATTAAAAAAACTTTATACTCTTACTGGGTACTGGTGTCGGTATTTGTACAAATCTCTCGCAGCATAAAAACTTCTCTTTGGTTTAGCAGTTGCTTCAGTGGAATCACCATCCTAAAATAAAAAGTGAAATTCCATTTACATGTTGAAGCAATTAAATTTGCACTGGAAATTTTCCAGAAGAAACTTAAAATAATGAATGTCCATAAAGAAACCTAAAAATTGCCAGTCTCTCCAAACTCATGAAAATATCCTAAGTACCTTTTTCAAATAATGCTTATCAGCAACATTTACTAGTATTCTACTTTCCTTATTTGCACAAAATAATTGTGTCCTAAGGTATATTACTAAATTTAAAAAAAATTTTCTCTTTACCAAATGACTTTAGAGGACAAATGTTATGGATCAATATCTATCAGGGAAAAAAAAACTCAGAATGAATTCAAAACATATTTTACCAGACGTAACACAAGTGTGCAATGACAAAGCTTATTTTAGAATACCATATACAATACTAAAAGAGTGTTAAGGTGATAAATCAATTTTACAGAGAAAACTGTCATTAAATTTGCAACGTTTATTTGTACTTGGAAGTCAAGGAATATTTACGAAAGAAAAGAAGGATTTTAAAACAAACTAGTTTTCTAAACTCCATCCTTATAGCACCATAGCAAATATGGCAAGGCATGAATAATCATCTATTCACTCAGTGATATTTAAAAGAAATACCTGTAAAGCAACAAAAAGCTCTCAAATGGAATGAACATCAGATAGAATTTGTATGTGGTAGTTTATTCATATTATTGACATTCTAAGCAAAATTCCCACCACCATGCAGCCATTTAAGATGCAGGTCAACAGAATCAGTCTGTGTTTTCTAACTATATGTAGTACTATAATGTATGATATGTATGATAAAGTCTTTGTATCTGGTGTCACACAGAAGGAGAATGAGACTAATGAGGAGGAAGACTACACATTTTAGACCTGAATGCTCTGTAAGAGCTTTTGCCCCAATTCCTTTTCAGATCATCCTCCACCCGTCTGTTGACAGACTGGCACGCTGTATGCAATGTTCACACATTTTTGAAGTGATGCGATTCTCACTCTTACTACAAATACAAAGATTCCGACTTTAACACCATATTCTCTGATGTTTAGCATTAGTTACTCTGTCATGTTACATAAGCAAGGAAAAGCTTAAATTCTGGTCCTTGCCACACATTTCAAAATAGCTCTGCCTAGCAAGTTTCTGAATCTATTTAGCCTGAGCTACAACCATATGAATCATCATCTACATTTGTATAGAAAGGACTTTCCCATTTACAAAGCACTCATATGTATATTGTTTCATTTGATTCTTACAAGTCACCTGGTTGGCAATTATTAGTGTTTCCATCTTAGAAACAAGGTAACTGAAGCTTAGATAAATTGAACAAAACCCAAAGCCCGGTAACAGTGCAAGAACTAGCCAGGTTCCAAATCCAACAAATTAGGTTTGAATCAATTTCAGAAAAAAAAAAAAAGAAGAATATATGGGAAACTCTGATATAACATCAAAAGCCCAAAACTTGGAATCGGGAAACTAGTGTGAAGTATAATTCTGCTACTTAGTATTTGTGAGGTCTTCGGCCCACCACTAGCTGAATCTTAGTTTTATCATCTGTGAAATGAAGATAGTGACCTGTTCTTCAGGACTGCCATGAGAATGACTGCATCCTCAGACCTTTACCTGCACCGACCTGCCAGCATCTGCCCCTGCTCCTCCAACCACTCTTCCTTTGGGGTTCTCTTGACCCTTTCACTGCTCAGGCGAGGATTCTGCTCTTAACATAGTTCCTTTCCCTAAATCACCAAAACTTCCTTCCTGGATATACCCCTCACAAACCAACATGCTGTAGCATCTCTGCTCTTAAATACACACCACCTACCATGACCCAAATCCACCCCCCAGTTACAGATCCATACCTCTGCTCCCTTTTACAATTAATCGACACCAAAGAACTGCTCAAACCCCCTGTTTTTCCTCTTCTTCCTTCTCTCATGACCCAACCCAATCAGGCTTTGTCCCTAGCATTCCATCCAAGTGGCTCTAAAGAACTTTACCAACAAACACTGGCTTGCCAGACCCTTTCCCAGTGCTCATCTCCGAGAGCTGCCAACAGCCCTGAGCCAGCGAAAGCCTGGCTTCCTGTGGCCCAACACACTGTTAGCACCTGGTGTGCTGGGTTACTGCTGGTCTCACCTGTCTCCTTCCTCAGCCTCTTGTATTGGCTCCTCCTCTTCACACCTTCTGAACACAAGCATGACCAGGGCTTAATCCTCATCACTCCCTGATGACCTCTTATCTTCCCATGATTTTAATACCAATAATCTTAAATGCTGACAGTCCAGCCCTGGACAGCCTCTATTAACTACTTAACAACTCCATTTGGATATCCAATAGAATGTCAAACTCAAAAGAATGCTTGACTTAACCTCCAAAACTGCTTTGTCCCTACATTTCCTCTTAGATAAGGACACCATCATTTGTCCAAAATTCACTGGGACCACGATGACATCAAGGACAGAGAGGTAGACAGTCTACAGTATACTTCAGAGGCAGCTCCAGTGATACCTAGAAAGGTGCTGACTGTTAGAAGGAGGGAATAGTGTGGTTGGGAGTCAAAATGTAAAATTAAAAACATTTTTCAATAAGTTCGATGGTGACACCAACAAGAAAAAAAAGTTATTGTTAAAGGCAAATGGGGCAGCACTGGTGTGGTCTAGTGTTTATTGAGGTTGAAATTAATTGACTGAAACACTAATTGTTACACTGCTTTCCACAGATTGGTCTGGTTAGTTGGATTGACTCTCAGCTGTCTTTACTGGTAATGCCAAAATTACTTAATTGGGAAACAAAGGGGAAGAAAAATACTGGAATAAACAGTATCTAATACTTCCCTGCAAGAGGATTAGCAGTGCAAAAAAAAAAAAAAAAAAAATGACAGGCAAGGCAATCAGAGAAAAGAGGTAAAGAGGCACTCAGAATTCCAACAGGTCCAAGGCTCTGACTCAGCTGACAGACATGCTTGGGTTTGCATTATTCTCTCTCTGCAAGATCTTAGGCGAGTTTCTCCTTCTCGGTAAACCTTAGTTTTCTCTCAGTAGGGATTTTCTCTCAGCAAGCTCCCACCCCGAAATTGCAGTTAATGTGAATAACATGCTTCCCTAGATCTGCGGCAAGGCTTTAGGACCCCTCCTTCCCTAAGCAGGGATCATCATCAAGAAGGCGAGGAGGCTCTCACGGTCACATGTTGGGGACGGTTCCCTTAAACTCTCTAGTTACACCAGACTTGGGGCTCCATTTTCCCACTCTGACTCCCAGAAGCTGATACAGAGGAGGCCTCCCGTAGAACCACATACCTGCTTTTCAGAGAGGAGATTATACAGCTCCTCCTTTTTAAAGTTTCTAATTATTTTCAGTCCATCAGAGGTTAAAGGGGCCACTTGTGTCTCTGCTACCCTGTCTTCCAAACTGCATCGGTCTGTCAAATGATTCAAGCACATTTGGATCAACAAGTCTTCCGGGTGAAATAAGATTTTTGAGGAATGCCCTGAACTCGGTGAAAGGCCTCACCTGGACTAAGAACTGGCGTTTTAACTTTGGATGCGAACCTTCTATGATACTTTTAATGGCTGTAGGGGCGACTGCTGGCCGCCTGGCATTTATTAGCTTTTTCCCCAACGACACCCACGAGATGAGTTTCACAATCTTCTATTTTTAGACAGGTTCCTCCCGCCCCACCTTTGCATCCCCCAGCTGCACTGCAAAGGCGAAAACACCCATTCAAGTTGGGCTCGGGCTGGAGGACTTCCCCGTGGCGCCCACGGCCAGGCCCAGGCCGGCCCGTCCCCGTCCCCGTCCCCGTCCCCGTCCCCATTCCCGGCCCAGTCTCCGGCCCAGCCCCGGCCCGCTCCCCGCCGCCCCACGCCGCCCACCTGCCCGGTGCCTGCCGCCTCCTCGTCCGCGTCTCGAGCGGGGCCGTCGCGCTCCTCCGGCTCGGGCTCGGGCTCCGGCTCGGGCTCCGGCTCCGGCTCCCGCCCCGGGCCCGTGCCGCAGCCCGGCCCCTGCTCCTCGGGCTCGGGCTCGGGCTCAGGCTCCGAGTCGGTCTGCCAGGTGGAGTCGCAGTCCTCCACCGTGGTGGGCTCGCGGAGGCCAACCCCGCCTAGCAGGTTGCCCATTGAGAGGCGGCGGTGTGGCTGCAGCAACGAAGGCGGCTAGGGCCCGGGCATGGCCGCGCAGGGACGCGGAGGGCGGGGAGCCGCCGGGACCGCCCCTCGGCTCGCACCGCCCGCCCCGAGCGCGGGGACGCCGCCGGCCGCCCAGCCTCGGACCGCCTCCCGGGGACCTGGCACCTTCCCTCCGGAGGGCCTGCTGCCTGCTACGTAACCTGGGGGACCTCCACCTCCCCCACCCCCCAGGGCCTGCTGCCTCCCCCGGGGGACCTGCTCCCTACCTCCTGGAGGCCTCCCCCTCTCCCCCAGGGCCCACCCACCGCCTCCCCCGGGGTGACTTGCCACCAACATCCTAGAGGGCCTGCCAGCCCACTCCTACCCCTGGTCCTGCAGCTACCTCCTGGAGGGCATGCCATCTTGCCCCTGCAAGACCTGTCACATCCTCCCTGGACAACCTACCACCTCCCCTCCCTTCTGGAGGTTCTGCCACCTCCCCCTGGAGGGCTTGCCACCTCCCCGCCAGGCCAGGCCTGCCTTTGCTTGGCCTTTGGCATTGCCCAGAGTGGATAGGGTCTGCTGCTTCCCCTCCACTTGGGCCAGGGGAAGAGTGAGCCTGGCCATCCTGAGAGTGAGAACAGGGTCCTGTCCACACCCCAGCCCCTCTCCCAGCTGGTTCAAGAGGAGGATGAATTAGCTGCCCCAGAAGACTAATAGTACTAAGGCACCACATAACAGGAAACCCAAGATACTAGGACTGGACTTAGGGCAGCCATCCAGAGCCCTGGTGGCCTAAAATCAAATCTGTTTATCATCTCAACGAAAGAGCAAATGTCTCTTGAAACAAAAAGAGCAAGATCACCTAGACCAGCACATTGATCTATGGATAGTTCAAACTAACAAGCTCCCCAGTCAGTGCTTGGTATAGAAAATTTCTCAGAATCCCAAGAACAGATAGGCTGGTTCTAAGGGAAGAATCCTGGGCTCCTTGGTCTGGTCTGTACTTGAAGAGGAGGGGGATTTGTTATAGAAGTGCTTACAGATTAACAGAATCAGATGAGTGATCTGGAGAAAAGTGACTATGGTGAAATTTGTGCTCTTTTTAGAAGAAAAACTAGAAGGGGGGAGCATCATCTGCTGGTGCTCTGGACAGGGTTCCTCCAATCCTGGGACCTTACAGCCAACTTGGTAGGTACTCGGTACGCATTTGTTCAATGGACACAGAGAATGGGCTAGATGATAAGATTAAGCAATTGTAACTGAAATGAATAATTTTTTAAAATGCCCCATGATGAAATAGGAGGCCAAATCAAGGCAGTTAGGTGTTTCTAAGCTCAGAATCAAGAGAACAGGATATCCACCCTGCAGATAAATCAGGATTGCCTCTCTTTGAGCAGTGCAATAGAAAATCTAGGCTGTTATTAATCACTTTCTGACCTTGGACAGGTCAGTAACTAGCTGAGACCCTAATTCCCTCACCTATAAAATGGGACTAGGTTTTTTCCTCTGGAGTGGCTTCCGGATCTGACCTTTTATGATCTCATGACTGGGAAGAGCTCAAAAACTACTAATAGACACAACATACAGAAAGACTTTTTGGTCATAATGGTATGAAAGTTGATGATACTAAGATGAAGTCATTTTTGTCGGATCCTAACAAAATTATTGCCAGGAAGTTATAATGGGGGAGGGTTTGTGCCTAGCAGAGATAAATACTTTCTCAAGGACCTTCTAAAGGTGAAAGATTTATTCTTGTTCTACAGGAACCTCATGCTTTGCACCCCCGCTTCCACTATGCACAGAGTTCCTTAACAAAGTTTATCTTTAATATTGCTTAAATTGCAACAATCCAGACAAGTTCTCCTAACAGAACACTTTCCCACCAATAGTACCTCCACCAGTACATTGACTCCAACTCCTTCTTCCCATCTCTGAAACCAATGAACTCTGTATCCAAACAGCTTACATAAATCTCTCCCTCTTCATCTTGAAAACTTCCCTTCACCTCAACCTCCTTGAATATACCTAGAGTTTACTGCGGCATGCATACTCCCAAATAAATATCATTAGTCTTTGGAGAATCTCTTTCTGATTGTCATTTAGGTTGACAATGGCTTAGTGAAGGAAATATGGGGCAGAGACAAAACACCTGAATCCAATGATTAAAGCTGGGGATTTGATTTGTCTTCTTCCATTAGCAGAGGACCAGAACATACTGTAGCAGAACACACCGTGCCTTAAACATCCTGGTAACCATAACGGAGAATGTTCAGGGATAGTCCCTGGGCCCAGGTGCAGATCAAAGGTGGCCACACATTCTTTGTTCTCCTCCCACTGAGAAGTAGATTCTAACCCCCGACTCTTGAATTGGAGCTGGCCTCAGTGACTTGCTTGAAAAACAGAATCTTAATGAAGCATATTCTGGGACGTTCAAAGCTGGACCATAAGGAACCTGTATTTTCCAGTGGGGTGGCTTGAAGGAATCCCTGTGTAAGCCCTGAGCTGGCATGTAAGAAGTTCAGCCACCTTGAGGTTGTAGTACTGGAAAGGTCACTGTGGATGGCCTTCAGTCACCAGTCCAGCTGAGTCCTGCCTTCCAGCATCCCCTTCTGGATTTTACTGGTTTTTATTGGATCCTCCAGACCAGCCCATCCACCAGCTGACTGCCTTTTGGTGTGACATCTACTACCATACATGGAGCACCCAGCACAACCCCACTCAAACTCCTGACCTCTAAAACTAAGAACTACAATAACATGGCTATTGCTCTCGGTCACTAAACTTTGCAGTAGTTGGTCACATAGCTATAGATACTGGACCAGTGAGAAGTATCTGTGTAAATCTATACTTGTTTGTGCATAGAAAGGTGTAAGTAGCTACTGTAATTAAGTCCTTATCTTTTCCAGTGGATTTTGTCAGATGTATCAATTGTTATAGGACCACAGATCATCTGACAGCTTGTGCAAGGTGTCTTCTAAAGAACATAATTTCACATGAACTGTTACAACAACTTTATATAAATTAAAAAGAGTAAGTTTAGAGCAATAAGCTTGCCCACATTATGTCTAATCCATGTGCTTGATACAATTAATTCTAGGGGTCTTGGATCCCTTCGTTCTGTACACTGGAATACCTCAACTTTTGCATTATTCCTACCTTTGAGAGTATATAATATTCCTAAATTGACAATAAAGAAGCTTGTCTTTGCTTCATATTAAAAAATCTATCAGGCCAGGGATTTAGCTCAGTGGTTCTGTCGGCTGCCCTGTGAGCACAAGGACCCAAGTTTGATCCCCAGTACCAAAAAAAAAAAAAAGGAACTATTTTGGGTGCTGGGGATTTAGCTCAGTGGTTTCACCACGTGCTGCACAAACACAAGGACCCGAGTTCCATCCCTGGTACCAAAAAAAAAAAAAAATTCTATCACTTTGTCAGGCATGAGAGCCCACAGCTGTAGCCTTAGCTACTTGGGAGGCTGCAAGGAAAGACTTGCCTGAGGCCAGGAGTTCAAGGTCAGCCTGGGGACCATAGGGAGACAAACAACAAAAATTTAAAAATCATCTCCCACAGTACCAGGCACATATTAACAATGTATGCTAGTTTTAATCATTGTTCATCCAACACAGCTTTAAAGAACATTGAATTCTATAATAACATGAATATATATGAAACAAGGAGAAACTACTACTACAATGGATCAGTGATAATAAGATATATTTCTGACTCTCTATATCCAGAGACCATAAGCAATGTAGATAGTATGCCCATGCTCCAATGTAACTCTGTTTTCAATTTTGTTTTGAAAGCCTTCCAGATGAGGCCATATTAAAGAGGAACTGATGCTTGCGGAACTAAACTTTTTTGGATGAAATCCAACTCATTTGACATATCTCGTATATTTTTTATATAGTGAATTGTGTTTGGGGGACATTCACGAAGAAGGCTTGTTGTTACATAATTCCCTTTGAGAGTCTTTCCAATAAAAGAAAAAGGCAGTTCAAGGGCCATTTTGCCCCACCTTAGGAATTAGCTTCTCAGTAGCTCCTAGGAACCTGCAACCTATGGAGAAAAAAGAGAATGTTTACAAAAATTGAAAATAATAAAGATAGCATCCTAAAGAAGCACTTTAAATAAAAATTAATGTGCCCAAATTGTCACTTCCATTGACCTTCCATGGCCAACACCTAAGGGACCTCTGTATCCTGCAGCATAAGAACAGCCCTTCCTCCAGTGAGCCAGGCTGGACTGGAGTCCCTTCCCAGCAACTTGAGGGAACAACTTCCTGCAGCCTGCTGCTGCCCAGGCTCACAGGGCGTCTCTGAATGGACCAGGGGTGTGGAAATTTCCCAAGATCTCCCTTCTCCTAAATAGGAGTTTTTAATGTTCTTAATTTATGAAGACAAAATATTTGGAGTTATTTTTTCTGCTCTTTCCTCCTGACAGATGTTTGAAACTTTCCTTCTTGTATGATTCTGAGATCTTAACCCCCACCTCCCATTTCTACCTCTCCTGCATTTCCCACAGCCATTACTACACCATAATCCTTCCTACAAAAGACTTTTCTTCCTCATTGGATGTTGCAATTTGGTAATGTGTGTGTGTGTGTGTGTGTGTGTGTGTGTGTGTGCATGTTCCTTTTATCTTTACAAGGCTTAATTGCAAAGATATCTCTTCTATCTTTCACAAAATTCCTTCTTATCATTTCTCCCCAAATGAATAGCAATTCAAGCAATTTTTGTATACAAGAATCAGAGTTCTCAAGATTGCTCTAAATGAGATGCAGAAATATATACACCTACATCTGATTTGAACTAAACCAAATTTGTAGTAGCAAAGAGAGTTCTGTATTTTTAATTATTGATATAAAATGTCAAATATTTTGCTATCAAATCTTAGTGACAAATGAATTAAATTCTCTTGTTGGCACCCAAACTGCTGCCAAGATTCTGATGAACCCCTGGGATATTCTAAATATTCCACCTTTAATGTATCAAAGCACCAGAATATGGTAAGTGTGCGCTTTCTTTAAAAAAAAAATTGGTTTGTTTTTGTTCCTCCACTCTATCCCTTACTTTGTTTTACCA